CTGAGTTTTCTTGTTTCTGCAGCTCCAGGAGGTAAGCCCTGCTCTGTCGATCACAGGAAGGAGGCCTGGCTCTCTCTGGCAATATCTTCAGTTTACTTTTCTTCCTGAAAGCCCCATTGACTTCAAGACTTCCCACAGCCCTGAACTGCAGCAGGAAAATCTTTCAAATTCTTGAATTTGACTAAAATTTTACAACTTTACCCCCCTCTTCAGGATTTATCTTGGCAGTTTGAGGCTGTCAGAGTTGCCCAGCTCTATGGCACGCCTCAGCAAGATTCTAACTTTGGTGTTGCATCTGGTTTTTTGGATATTTGATTATTTCCTCTTTTATGTTTGGGAATGTAAATTGAAATGCAGCACTTTAATCTAATTTAAGTTTTAAAATGTAGAGATTTGTTATGACAGAAATGAGTATGGATTATTTCCTTTTCTGAGCTTCTACCCCAAATGCAACTTTCCTGAAGGGACGTAATTGCTGACCTTTTGGGGTGTCTTTTTGAATCTGAATTTGCAGTTCTTTTAATATCCTGTAATTCACGTGTGGGATTAAAAAGTGACCCACTAGTTGTGAAAAATACGTAATGATACCCATGGTAAAAGCATGTGAGAATCTAATGTAATGTAAAGAAAAGTTTTCCACATGTAAATATGCATTGGTTTCCTCTAGATGATCTGGAGCCCAACAGCCTCGCAGTTATTCCTGGGATGGGAATTCCTGAGCAGTTGAAGATAGCCATGGAGCAGGAGCAGATGGGTAAGTGGTGGCTATGAGGAAGCATTTTCCTGAGCCATCCAGATACCGTGGGACTTCCATTCCTTGCCTGTATTTTGGTAGCACAGACACTGTTCTCTAAAGTTTTGTCTCATGGGTATTGCCCATGTAAAGAAGGAAGAGTTGACAACTCTTTTTTGCTAAATAAGCTGTAAGGAGAGGAACGGGATTTCTCTGTAAACCTGCACTGCTCTGACTGTTTGTGTCTCTCTGGTGCTGAAGGGAAAGACGAGTCCAATGACATTGAAATGACGATCCCAGGGCTGGACTGGGGAATGGAGGAGGTGATGCAAAAGGACCAAAAGAAGGTGCCACAGAAAAAAGTGCCCTATGCAAAACCAATCCCAGCACAATTTCAGCAGGTGAGAGCTTGACACACAATGAACAGGAGAACAACTCGTTATTTGGCCAACTTCCAGAACGCATGTGGCTGTTGATTTGGACTTCCAGTATCAGCTTTTTTATATCAGCACCCAGTGCAAAATAATTTGCCACAGTTATTAGTTTAATTACTGTTTATGCATAAAATATTTGGTTAAATCCCTTGTATCTTGTACCTGTACCTGGAAAATAAGATGTTATAAGATCCTGAAGTTTTATTCAGCATCGGTTTTAGCTTCTGAATACCCATGCTGCACAGTGACCCAGCGTGTCTTTTCCGGTGCAGCAATGTATTGTGTATGTGCTGTTCCTCCAAACTCATCTTGTGTTTTCTGTTCTTCACAGGCATGGATGCAGAACAAAGTTCCTTTGCCTCCCCCACCTGAGCCACTGAATGACAGAAAGGAAGATATTAAGCTGGAGGAGAAAAAGAAGACGCAGGCGGAGATTGAGCAGGAAATGGCAGCACTTCAGTACACGAACCCCCAACTCTTGGAGGTACAGATGTGAAGACAGTTATTAGCAAGTGTGTTTTAGTGCTCTGAGACATTTGAACATCAGCACTAAAATGTGTAGCTTGCTTTTGCACTGCTGCTTTCGCATTTAAAAAAATCCCATCCGATCCATGGGATGCCTCCAGCGAGGTCCCCAGCTTTCAGTTAACTAACACTGATCCATGGATCTCTTTAGTTAGATCTCTGTTACTTAAGAGAAAAGCACTAAAGATTTTTAAACTTCTGAGGAATTAATTAGTTGCTTCTGATTTTCAGTTGTTACGTATACTTCCATGCTTAGTTGGTTTTCTGGGTCTCTTTTTTTTGGACAGCAATTGAAGATCGAGAGACTCGCACAAAAGCAAGCTGAGCAAGTGCAGCCACCACCCCCGGGAGGCTCCCTTCATGGACCCCAACCTTTTCCAGGGCAAGGCCCGATGTCACAGATGCCTCAAGGATTTCAGCAGCCCCTTCCACCTCAGCAGATGCCAATGAATATGCCTCAGATGGGACCTCCCGGTCCACAAGGACAGTTCAGACCTTCGGGACCTCAAGGTCCTCCGTTACACCAAGGAGCTGCGGGTCCACAAGGGTTCATGGGACCACAAGGACCTCCAGGCCCCCAGGGACCCCCGCAAGGAATGCCACGGCCTCAGGATTTACATGGACATCAAGGAATGCAGAGACATCCTGGTCCTCACGGGCCAATGGGGCCTCCGGGTCCACAGGGTAGTGGTGGCCCGCAAGGCCACTTAGGACCACAGGGTCTGCCTGGGTCTCAGACTCATTTAGGACCGCAGGGTCCACCTGGCTCCCAAGGTCACCTGGGCCCTCAAGGTCCTCCTGGTGGTCAAGGAATGCAGGGGCCACCTGGTCCGCGAGGAATGCAAGGACCTCTTCCTCATGGCATGCAAGGAGCTCCAGGATCTCAAGGGATGCAGGGCCCTATATCTCAAGGGCCTTTGATGGGACTTAATCCAAGAGGGATGCAGGGTCCACCAGGACCCAGAGATAACCAGGGACCTGCTCCGCAAGGGATGATGATGGGTCATCCGCAAGAAATGAGAGGTCCTCATATGCAAAGTGGTTTACTAGGACACGGTCCCCAGGAGATGAGGGGCCTCCAGGGACCCCCGCCTCAAGGTACAATGTTAGGACCACCACAAGAATTGCGTGGGCCGCCGGGTCCACAAGGCCAGCAGGGACCTCCGCAAGGCTCTTTGGTAGGGCCCCAAGGAAACATGCAAGGACCTCAGGGACAACCGAACCCTTCAAGGGGGCCGCACCCTTCCCAGGGCCCTCTGCCTTTCCAGCAGCAGAAAACGCCTCTGTTGGGTGATGGGCCTCGTCCCCCGTTCAATCAGGTACGTGTTGGTCTGCGTGACAGGACGAGAGTTAAGGATGTAGGAATGGTAATGCCAGGCGGTGGAAACACAGAGCAAGAGCTGGGAGGCTGGAGGTGCGATACACTTACGAGACTGGGGCCTCAGTGGTAACGAAAAGAGTTACGTAGCTTGGAAACAGCGGAGGTAGCTGTAGAAAAGGGATTCTTGGAAATACTGGCACAGAAATCAACGTCTGCTATGAAAATACGTAACCTTAGGAGAAACTCCAGAGTTTTTAAATTGAAGGACACAGAACTGTCTTAAATGGGGAATTTCCTGGGAAGAAGGTAAGCACTAAGGAAAGCTAAATTTAAGCAAACCACACATAAGAAAACTCATCTATATTGAGTAAAGCAAGTTACTGCTGACTGTCAGTTGTCCCAGAGTAGTTTATCCAAACTGTGGGAGGAATTTACCACGGACACACCTGGAGTCAGCTTAGGTCTGGTTGAACTTACCAGTTCAAAGGACACAGCTCTCCTTTTTCCTGCCCTGGGGTAGAAGTCATGTAGGCACTTCTGTACTTTCTGGAGCACAAGTTGAGATTGGTGGTGTGCATCCTTGACTCGTTACTGCACCATCTGCTGAGAAGCACGAGAGGAGCACAGCCATCGGTCAGGTTTGCACAGGACTAGCCCAGGTCTGGTGGGCTGAGCACCGAGCTGGTGGCCTGGATGCGGTGCTGCGCTGGCAGTTTGATGTCCCCGTGCTGTGCTGCCTCGGCATTTGGC